AGATTTGCTTTTCACCTGATCCGGATGAAGCGCTGAGTCTTGTTGTAGCAAAGTCACTGAACAGTGAAAGATGCACAGGTTTGGGCCACTCTTATTCTTGGCCTTACAGAGATAAAGTTTCTTCTGGGCAAAGTTCATGCCCTGAAATGCATCTTGCGCGAAGCTGCCGCCGCGAGCTTTGGTTACGCTAATCACCACCGCAAGAACCGAGTCTCTGTACGGACAATCCAACTGACGAAATACGCTCGTCTTTCCTGACTGTCGGACAACGCTTCTTCCTGAAGCTTTCATGGACTAGTGGCACGTTCCGTCGGATAGAAAAGTAATGTTTTAAGGAGAACTGACCACAGTAGTGAAGCGCGTTTCCAATGTTAGTGACTCAAGCATTGTTTGCCAGCTGACGTGAGAATCACTCTCAGTTGGCCCCAACTGTGCGAATCCATACACAACTCTTCATCATCTGATACTATCATCGTCGCTAAGGAGGCATTTCTGAATCGATGGAAAGAACACTTAGCTAATCTTTCGAACCATCAGCCAACCCCAGCAGCAAAGTGCTGATACCCTGAATGTAGCAGGCAACGTATAACCCTCTGATTACCCATTGCGGAGTTGCGTTGTCTCCATGTTTCGTACGGGACCGCTCCGCATATACGCTTCATTACCCAAATCACCGACTTTTCAAGCCGTACTCGGCTCGTTGTCAAGGTACCGAGCATGGCTCGAAACGTCGGTGATTTGGGTAATGAAGCGTATATGCGGAGCGGTCTCGTAAGAATTATGAAGACCGTGCAATTAATCTCTCGCATAAAAGAAGAATGTTCACTTTTCAAGTTTGTACGGAATTGCGGTCGTTAGCAAAAGCCTTAATTTAAACAAGCGAAAATTTGCATGTTCAACTCACAGTCCATATTAGAATATTGACGAGCATTATTCTGCCAAATCAAGGCCCTGGGAACGGTTTAGGCAAAGGTACGGCAAGGTAGAGCGAATTAACTTTTTTCAAAAAAGCGACTGAATGCTGTGCAAGAACTGTTTGTGAATAAGTCCAATTAATCTTGCTGGAAAACTTTCACAAACCTCCTTTTGCGGCAGTATCAGAAAATAAATCCTCGAACACATCCGAATCCAGTTGCCTCCTGTGTCGGTTGTGGATATATTGACCAGATTTTCTTCCTTACCTGAATCTGTCAGCATGTCGTCCAACCTACTGTATTCTATTTCGTGAATTAGCACCTGATTCCGATTCTACTCGCAGGGGTTCCTTGTGACACTTCATGCAGTTCGATGGCATATGCGGGCAGTCGGTTTAGGCTAGTGACGACATAGGGTTGCTAAACCTGAGCGAAGGTTGACACATATACAAAAAAGGAGGCCTTCTTAGTGGAGCTGCTCAGGGGTTCTTCAGGGTTGTTTTATTTTGTCGGTTCTCTTCAGTTTCGCTATCGATGGATTTTATACAATGCACTGAAAATCAACGCTGTTGTGGAAGTCAGCCTTGAACTTGATATGTCGACCTCAGTTATTTGAACGGCATTTCCTTCTTAACTTCAAACTGTGCTAATATCCAAAGAATCACCGTATAGACGACCATCTGCTGAACTGTACATCTTTTTCTTAGCGTGTTTCCCTTAAAAGGATTCGCTAATCGAGTCAACTGCCAACTGAACTGTACATCGATGCCATGAAAATACATCTTTAAAATTTTTTCTTCGCACATCTCAGAGAGAGATAAGCAATCAATCTGTCTTGACTCTATCATCATCAA